TCAACTAGTGACTATCCTCTTTGGGGGGGCAGGTAAGCGGGGACTCCTTGGAGCTGAACTGGTTCCAAGGTGACATGCCTGGCAATGGACTATCGGAATCGAGCCAGCCCTTTGTGGCAGTCTCGGTAGTCCGGTTCCTGAGCCAGCTGGGTCTGCAGTACTCCAGGGCACTGCTGATGACAATACAGCCAGCCTCGCTCATCGGCAGGACCTGGAAGGGCAGACCAGTCACTGGGGGCATGAAGTATTCCCACTCAGCTACTGTTAACCATGCAAGCCAAAGCTCTAATGGGTAGGGTGGACCTAGCTGGACAAGCAGAGGGAACGCTTTCCGGACAGCAAGATCAATGGCAAGTGCCCCAACACATACTCTGGAGTCCCCAAGCCTTGGATCTTGCGAAGGGTTACTAATTTACTAATTACAGAGTATAAGAGTGGTCGGCATCTCTACACAACTCGGAATTAGGTAAGTAGGATGCCTTGAGTACAAACAGCCTGGAGTACAAACTGCAGAATAAAACTTTCTCTTGCTGATTCTGGTTGACGCATTTTTGTCAAGTGACTTAGCAAGTTAATTTAAGCCTTTACATAGATCCAATAATGAATCCAACCTGTGGAGTTTGTCTATATTACATATGGGCATTCTGAGAGTGTGTAAATTAGTATTTAGGATTAGGCACGTGTGCAATGAGGACAGATTGCATGTTTATCCTGGTGGAAAGAAGATTAAGGGGTGATTCAAAGGGATTTAAGTTTTCCGGATTCCAAAGAGCGTAGACAAGCTGGGTTCCAATAGCCTGTTTGATATTTTCCAGAAACCCACAACTCCAGGTCATGATTTGAAGCTTAAAGGAGTGAAAGTAAACACTGGCTTAAATTTAATTATGTGGAGGGTGGTCAATATATGGAAGAGTTCAATCAGGGAGGTGAATAATGCACATAGTTTCAATAGGGAATGGTCAGTTTTTTGGTGCAGTGGGGATTGAGGGTTTGAGAGATGGAGAGCAAAAGGAGAGGTAATGCATTCATCATCTCTTGATCATTCACGGGCCTCTTATTTACCCAGGCATCTCACTTTTTCCTATAAATCAAGTTAAGCTACAATATGTTTAGATGAGATTCATTGTGTACTGTTGTGATTTGTATCGAATCATATTATGTATGCAATTTATCTTAAATAATCCAATTCATTTGCCACACAGGTGCCAGATGCGTTTTTATTTATTCAGTGCACCAGTTTTCTAATAATTTCTTCACATTTCTTCATAAGAATATTCATCTGGATTTACTGCTCAATTATTCTGTTCGAAATATTAAAAAAAACTTGCAATTTTAGAAAACCTTGTCATGTCTAAATGTGTCAAAACGCTTCACAGATAATTGCTTTCAAATTTAGTCACTGCTTGCAGGCAAATGCAGCAACCATTTATGCCAGAATGCCCTACAAGCAGCCATGATTGACCAATTAATCCAGAGGATTGGTAACCAAGACACCAGCAGAAACTTCCTTCTCTTTTCGAATAGAGCCACAGGATCTTTAACATCCCATTGAAAAGCCAGATAGGTCCTTGAAACCTTTACCAGTGGAGCACTCCTTGGTAGTTCACAGTCACCCTAGAATGAGCTCAAGTTGTGAAATAGGGTTTGAACAGTAAACACTGTTAAAATTGTATTACTCAAAAATGCATGAAGTATGCAGAGATCAAATAGATGTTTGAACAGTGGCCTTTTCTTATGCAATTCTGGATCAGAAACCTTTCCAGATAATGAATATCTTCACCATGGTAACTTCGATAGGTGTCTGACTGCTATTACTTGTTGCCATAGTTATTGATTTGGCTATCGTAGCTGCAAAGCAGTGTGCATATCGCTTTGGATTGCTGCAGCAGTGACCATTGTTTCACATTATAAATTTAAATGATTTAAATGCATGCACGTGTAAGACTGACATGGGTATTAAATTCAACTGATTCTATTATCTATAGGCAGTTATCTGACAAGTACTAATTAAAACAGTGTCTGAGATAGAGCGATGCAGACCTGCCATATACATCTTCTTTAATAAGGTTACAGCTATAATAAACCACACACGTCTCACACCTGCTATAAGATTCACCTCCAAAAATGCATAATCATTGCACTATTTGAGATGTCCTGATGTCAAAGATGCTACATCAAATATATGTATTGCTGTTTGTTATATAAGGTTTTAAACTTCTGGAATGCATTGTAGTTTTTCTGTCGATGTACCTAGACTGATGCATCAATGCATTTTTTTAAAATTGCATATTTGATACACCAGTGCACTGAATGCAATCTCTCTGTAATCTAATGGAAATCCTGTAGTAATGGCATTGCAAAAAAAAGTCTGATACCTTCCTGTGATCATCAGTCACTGTTGTGTAGAGATGCCGACCACTCTTATACTCTGTAATTAGTAACCCTTCGCCTGCTGTCAGATCATCAGTCATTGACTTGCACAGATGATCACTGTGCTCAGAGTCTGGCATTATTAAACCTTGAGCTGCTGGTAATACTTCAACTCCTGCCTTTGCTGAAATCAACTGAAAAAAGAGTGGGCCATTGGGGTGATGATCATTAACAACTCCAATCCTCTTATTCACAGAAATAGTCATCTCCAATGCAAATTATGTTACATTTATATTTTGTATTTTTAGATTGTATTTGTTCCTCATGCACAAAACAAAGTACAGTATTTGGGTTATGCCTTAGTGTGTTAAGTTGGATGGCTTGACATGCAGTCCGATCAATTTTGGTCTGTTACTGCTGCATGGGTGTGTTTAATTGTTTTTTTCCATGGAAATGGTGTAGAGTCTGCTCTCTTATTGTTATTAGTAGCAGTATTGGGTGGGAGGAGAGCTAAGGAAGAGGTAAAACTAATTAAGGTTACTTAATCCATTCCATTCTCTCACCAAAGTACCCTTAGAGCGACTAATGGAAAAATAGCTTCAACAGTTTTAAAAGCCATCCTGCTCTGATGTTCGGAGGTGGCTAAGTGGCAGTGAGTTACCGGTACCCTTAGGGGAAAATAACAAGAGTAAACATAAATAAACCAAACCAAGGTCGTGTTTCACTGGCTGGGTGGAAAACCTCTCGCAGGATATGAAGTAGAAAAACAATACTGAGACCTCCCACAAGATGAAAGAGACTTTGTGCCAATTAGTGCCTGTGCCATTCAGAGATGTATGGTTATTATTAGGGAGAATGTTCAGACTGCTTTCAGGCTTTGCTCAATTGGTTTGTGCACAGCTGGGTACAGAAATAAGATGCAATGCCACCTATTGGCTGCTAATGCAAAGAAATAGTTTCTTTTTCTATTCAATAACAGCAATTTCACATTTACATCACATCTTTCAAATCGAGAGGCCATCACAAAATGCTTCAAAGAGCCGACTGGAGGGATGAGGGAAAGCTAAGGATTCTTATAATATACGTCCTTCCATTCCAACACGCCTTTCCTTGTTATTATTTGTTTTGAAATTAGATTGTGTACCTTATTTATAAGTACTTGAATATCTGAACTAAGATTAAAGAAACAGTTTATTATAATTGGTACTTCTTTGTTGATAGCTAATCTCACACGGATTTAAAAAAAAATGCACTGCATACAATATTACGTAAATCAATTTCATGTTTGCTGAATTTTGCTGCACAACTAGTGGTTCTATTTGAATATCATTGGAACTAGAGAAGATCACATTTAAAATGTTGGCCACCTGCATCCTGATGCCTCTTCGCAGACACTGAACAGTACAATGACTGACACAATAGGCTCTTTTTGTATTTCTTGGTTCAGCTGATCTGGAGATGGCACTAGCTGGAGAAGCAGGCTGTTTCCCTTGTTGACTATCTATAAATTTTGCCCTCATGTTAAACCTTCTTGTCTCTGCATTTTGGACTGTTTTATAGGCATCTCGTATTTTACCGTTATAACAAAGTTTCTATCTTAGAGCAAGATTTGAAATACCTTCATACAAAAATATAACCTTTGCTTTTAATAACTTTGGATTAAAAGTTATTAAAAGATTACTTCAAAGTTACTTCTTTTTAATAACGAACAGTGGGGCCTGGAAACGGGTTGCATAGTAAACGCTTAAATGGATGGATTCTGCTGGCTTCAACTGTCTGCTAACTAATTACTCACAGATACAGATTTTCCCCCATTTGTAGCTGAATTCATGTCAGCCCCATTCAGACCATTACTACTGTTTTCTCTGCTATTGTGGGGCTTCTGGAAGCTGTGCACTAACAGAGCGGAGAACACAATAGCAGACTGAAAAGCACCATTCTAGATTCGTTAATAGTAGTGATGGGAAGAGGAGTCAATGTGGACATGAATGTTTGCTAGCAGTGCAGGTACTGCGGCTGAGCCAATTGTGACCATGTTAGTAGGTTAATTGGTGCTATTTAAAGAACCATATTAACGCAGTATAATCTAGATTGTGAAGAGCCAGAGCTTGTACATATAATATTGTCACTAAGGTCTTCAAATTCTATATATTTGTGAAGGCTTTTTCCTAAAAAAGATTTGGTTAATTTTCATTGATAAATGAAGTAGTCAACAACTGAGCAGTTTGTACAGCAATGATTGGAACAGATTTCTGGCGTTCACAGGAATGAGCATGATGAATAAAGAGGCAATTGTATAAAGCAAATTAAAGCTGCGTAATTTCTGGCCCATTTATTACGTTCAAAACCAGGCAGGAAAATCTCTTGCATTTCTGCTTTGATCTTTGAATCGAATCACAGGGCAGTGCCTAGATTATATAAGTACTTTGGTAAAATATAACTCTTACAATGAGTGTGATGTATATAGCGTTATATTGCGTGCACATTTAATCTTTCACTTGTATTTTCATGGGAACGCTGAATCGGACATTAATAGTTATGCCAAAAACACCTTTGATAGCTAAAATACATTTTCACGTGTTTCAAAGTATGCTTTTTTTAAAACTTGATCTACTGTTTCTATTTTTCAGTTTGTTAGTGAAAAAATGGGTGGAGCTGAAGGTACTAAACTTGATGAGGATTTTATAGAAATGGAACGGGTAAGTGCAAATGCAAGAGCTTCTGCACATTCTACTGTAATACAAAAGGTATGGTTCAGAAAAAGCCCTACATATTCTATAAACTCATAATACTTGGCTGATGTTTTCAAGAATGTGAGGGGAAGTAACGATATATGGGCTTCAAGTGATGTATCTAGTTGTTTTTGCTTGCACAATATTCAACAAAAATATATGATTGTTGATATGTTCTCTAGGTTTTGGCAAAAACTCAATGCTAGGTGGCCACACTGCAGTCCTTTAGTTACATATCATCCTTCTAATTAGCCACAGCATCTGATGACAGTGAACCTATCGGATACCATTAGCTTTATGCTCTTTGCATAATGGCAGCTTTGCATTGTATCAGAAGCTGACAGAGAATTCTGTCTTTTTCAGTATTGCAGGCAATTCTCCAAAACCAAGGTCTTTCTCAGACACCAGTTCTCCAAAATACTTTTTTTTAAACTTCTGTTTCCAGACAGCTCAGTCCTTTCAGCATGCTTTTTTTTAAAAAAGGGAACGAGTTGTTCAAGCTCCACATGCTACTGTGACCTGTCCATAAATGTCAACCATTTTTACATGTTCTTAGCCAGAAACCTTCCCAAACCTGAAGTCCTGCGATACCCAGCGAACAATCCAGATTGACACCATTTATAAAACAAATCCATAATCAGATCAGTTCACTATTGGCTGACCTTAGAACTTTTATTTTAAAATACATAACTTTCACGTTGTAACAAATGTAACGCAGATTAAAGTGTGACATGTAACTTCAGATGGAAGTCTTTAGTCCATTTAACCTGAATAGTGTTGTCTTATGTAATCAGTACTGTGTAACGAATACTGGACTGCTGTTAAAAATTAACCCCAGAAAATGACAAGTAGGTCAATGTATCTCTAAACAGTAGAGCAATCTACTGTCATTTTTATCAATTAAATATCAATTAAATATTGAAGTGTAGTTGGGTGTTGTCATTTGGTGAAAATGCACGTATCTAAGATTTATAATTTATTGGAAAGGCATTGTTTCGCCAGATGGTCTATTTTTGTCCAAATAATTCTCATTTTATGTTAAATCTTGATACATAAACTGTTCCTTATCCGCAGGGAATTCATTAAGTGAATGACTGTAAGAATGTCGTACCGAAGTTTGAAAGTATTTTACGGACAAATCATACGGTAGTTGTATTTGCAATCTTTTGCCAAAGGTAGAATGGTTTTATTTGCAAGCGTAGTATTGTAAAATGCTGCCTGTGCTTTCTTTGCCATTTATTTTACAAGGGTTTCATTTTTCTTTTTTCTGTAAGAAAATAGATGCTACAAACAAAGCAGTGACGGAGGTTCTGTCAAAAACCACTGAGTACTTGCAGCCAAATCCAGGTAAGGGAATAACATAACATTTAAAAATGTTTTTCTTCTTCTGGCTTTTATTCTGATCTGTTGATTCATGTGTGTTGGTTGAAGATACTATAATATACTGTAAGTAATTTTCATTCCTGAACTGGGTCATCTTTGCACCATCCACAACCAAAAAGGGCAAGAGGGTGAGTTGTTTAACTACCAGTCTGGAGCCACCTACTGCAAGGTGTACGAGATAGGGTGACTCCCCACCCAAACTCCCTCCCTCCTAAGTGAGGAAGCACTGCTCGACAATCAGCACTTTCCCAAGCAACAAAATAGCTGAAATAAGGAATTTAACACTGTGAGGATTAGAGGTACAAACCCGAAGAGCTCTGTGTGTTCTTACAACATCCGTGTTATACATGTTCTAAACAATTACAGATGTTCATGTATTTAATGAACGTTGAACTCCCATTTGCTCCTTTTTTTTCAAAATGTTTTTCTAACCAGTGACAAGGTAAAGGAAAACATGTGTTTAATAAATAACCAGTTTCAGTTTCCCTCAGGTTAGTTTCCATGCATTAGGTTGCCTTGTATTTGGAATATTTACATACCAAATGTTTATATTTTATATAGGGTTACAGCAATCAGAGGCCATTTGGCTCATTGAGCCTATGATGCTGTTAGCTCTCCGACAAGCACTCCAGTCCCAATTCGCTGCTCTCTTACTGTGCCATTTATATTAATCAAATATTTATCTAGGTCCCTTTTAAATATTGTTACAACCAATTGTGTATTTGATGTTCTAATAAACCACTTTGTGAATAATTTTCTTATAAACTATTTGCCAATTCAAGTTTCTTTTGATTCCTTTTTAAAGTACTTAAAATAATTGTACAATTGTAACTATTTCCAAAATAATGATTAGATAACTAAACACATTCCCCCTTTTCACTTCGAAAATTACGAGCTTAATTTTGGTATTTCCGTTTTGTTTAAAACATTTTGTGTCTCCAGCCTTTAAATTTATTGGATAATTGCTACAAGCCAATTTGCTACATTACAAGATGGTTTTCTTTTTAAGCTTACAGAGCTAAGTTAGGTATGCTGAACACAGTGTCAAAGATCCGAGGACAAGTGAAAACAACAGGTTATCCTCAGCCTGAAGGCCTGTTGGGTGAATGTATGCTCAGGCAAGGAAAAGATCTTGGAGAAGACTCAAATTTTGGTGAGTTATTGATTTTAATTATTTGTAAATATTATAAAATAATAATAATTTGGTCACTCAATCCACAACTTTTTGTGGCACATTGCTGTGCGGAATTGCCTGCACAAAGTATACAGTCAATTCACTTTACAGTATATTCTTTGAGATGTCTCGAAGATGTGATAAGGTGCTATATCAAATGCAAGGACTTTTGTTGTTATTATTATTGTAAGACACACGTTTTGTTTATGTGATTATTTGTATGAGCCAAAATGGAGGAGTTTATACCATCTATCTATCTTGCTTTTATGTTACATATGTTCAAACGACTGCCAAGATGGTGGAAGACAAACTAGATGGACCTTGGTCTTCTTTTGCCAAGCAAGTTCTTATGTTCTTGCATTTCACACTTTTTTGTATGAAGCAGCCAATTCATTTTACTTGTCATTTTTTTTCCAATGGAGAAAAAGATAAAGATTTCAGACGACTACTCTGTTGGGACAAGCAGAGAAATTAATATTTTTAATAGATACTTTTTCAGTAGGTTTAAAATAGGCTGTGTGTCCTATTTTCTGGTTTCTATTAATTCTTCTCTCCCTCCTCGTTCCCTGCAACTGTTTTTTGATTCTTTTTTCTCTCTCCTACTGGAGAACAGTTCCACAGGTGAGGGTGCCCTGCAGAACTCACCCAAGGAGCTGTTATTCATGATTAAAAGCTGAATTGTCATTCAACAGAGGGGGCAACACTCAACGACTAAGACCTGCACTCTCCTCACTCAACATCCACACACTCACACCATCCAGTGGGGGATTGTGGATAGCAATCAAAAGTGGGAACCTTGACTAACCTTCCCTAATACAGTGGTGTTGTGGCCAATTTTAGTGCCCCAACTGTTGCTGGTTAATATTAACTAAATATTATTTAGATGGAAGCCTGTGTCAGTTGATAGCATGCTGATCTAAATCGGAGGTGAGTGTGCTACCATGTCAGGACTTTGGGAGAGAGCTCTTGATAAACTGTTGTTAAAACTTTATTCATTTGTGAAATCCGAATGAGCTGGATTGCACAAATAATAAAATGCTCAAGTTTGAAAATTCTAAATTTTTGCTTTGACTTCATGTTTTTCTATGTGAATGTTGTAGGTCCTGCTTTAGTGGATGTTGGTGAAGCTTTGAAACAAATGGCTGAAGTAAAAGATTCTCTCGATATTGGTGTGAAACAGAACTTTATTGATCCATTACAAATTTTACAGGAAAAAGATTTGAAAGAGATTGGGGTAAGATTTTTGCTTCCAAACACAATTTATATGACCTGAAACTTTTTAAAATATAAACAAATAAAAACTTTCTTTGCTGTATCTTAAAAGGAAAAACAAATCCAAAAAGGCAAGTGGGGCTTTGTTTGTAAAATATGATAGCACTAGGACTGTAAAATATGATAGCACATCCCACTGTTAATTATTCAATGTTAAATAGAAAGCTATTTAGCTCAATTTTTGTGCTTTTCAAAATTCTTCAAATTTCATACACAAATTATTGTTCCTTTGCTAGCAAGAATGGCATCTCTCAAACTTAGAAAGGTTTTAAAAAAGGTTAAAATATTGCTTTTTTAAAAAGCAATCTGAATTGTTTTTGCTTCCACAGTTACTTTGACCGAAACTAATTGACATGTGACTGTGACTATTTGCACGCTGTTTGACTACGGAAGTAGGAAGCAACAACTAAACCCAATCCAGTACTAAAATTGGAGAGCAGTAATCAGACGTTGGAAGTCTGGCAGATTTCCATTCCTTACTGATCCCAATTGTGTACCTCCTAGTGCCATTCCAGATGAGATTAGAGAGCTCAACACAGACTAGGGATCCAAACCTAGAAGCTGATCAATATGTTCTTCTTGTTCCCAGCACCATTTAAAAAAGCTGGAAGGTCGTCGTCTAGACTATGATTACAAAAAGAAGCGCCAAGGTAAGATCGCTGATGAAGAGATAAGACAAGCTGTAGAGAAATTTGAAGAGTCCAAGGAACTTGCTGAGATCAGTATGTTCAACTTTCTGGAAAATGATGTAAGTTTACAAAACATTTATATTAAAGGACGTTTCTCACATTTACGCTTTTAAGCTTACTTCGAGCAAAACAAAATGCCAATAAATCTGGTGTAAAGGTCGTACTTGAGTGCAAATTATATCACTGATTTTAAACAATTTTGTAAATTAGCCTCTTTTCTCCCCCTCTAGAACTAAAGAGCCTCAAATAGTGATTGAATGCAATTTATCCAAAGGCTGTTACACGATTTATTGTATTGATAAGTTAGAGTTTCTATTTTACAATTGATATTTTTAACAGATATAGATTCATTTTTTAGCAAAATAAGCATAGTGACATTGAGCCATATAATCCATATAATGCTGTGAATTATATTTACTGCTTGGTTCATCTGAATAAAACAATCCTGTGTTGAAAATGGAATTAACGCATACATAAAGCATTCAACTGGATTACTGCTACATTTTTGTTGCCGTAATGTTAACACAGGTAAAATTATTAGAAAAATGCTTCTTTAGAACACGACTTGTTATAACCTGAATAATTTCTTTATTAAAAGTTTGTATTAGTACTAGGAACACAGGAATTAGGAGCAGGAGTAGGCCATTCGGCCCCTCGAGCCTGCGCCATTCACTAAGATCATGGCTGATCTTCTAAACTAACTCCACCTACCCGCCTTATCCCCATATCCCTTAATCCCTCTATCCTTTAGAAATCTATTAATCTCAGTCTTGAATATGTTCAAGGACTGAGCATCTACAGCCTTCTGGGAAGAATTCCATAAATTCACTACCCTCTGAGTGAAGAAGTGTTTCCTCAACTCTGTTCGAAAAGGCTGATCCTTAACCTTAAGACTGTGACCCCTAATTATAGATTCTCCTACCAGGGGCAATGGTCTCACACTGTCTACTCTGTCAAGTTGCAGAAGAATCTTATATGTTTGTATAAGATCACCCCTAATTCTACTGTGACGTTAATCCAGCATTTACACTAATAATTTTCAAATTACATCGATCACATAAGAGATTTATCTTTTAAAAGCCTTTTTTATGATCTTTATAAATTGCAGCTTACATAGAACAAGAGAATATTTCTATTATGGGAAAGTTTCTGCGACAATTGAGCTATGTGTTATAGAGCAGTCTAGACTGGAATAACTGCAGGTTGGAAAGTTAACACACATTTTATGGAACAAAGAGAAATTCCTGATTAACCCAATACATGTTGTGACTGCAGCTTTAAGCACTTGAGTCCCTTTAGAAAAATGTTTGGTTTGTGTTTGTTTTCTGCTACCCCACAAACAGTCACAAAATTGTTTTAGATAGTCTTTAAAGATTCGTAGTCTTACCTTGCTAAAAAAGTTTCCTCTTTTTTGCAGGTAGAACAAATAAGCCAACTATTAGCTCTCGTGGAAGCAGCACTGAGCTACCATAAAGAATCCACTTCAATTCTGGAAGAGCTTCATCGCACGTTGCTGCACAGGTGAAATTACGAACCTTATACACTACCATCCGTTAGCTAAAGGAAATGATTTGAGGCACGTGATAACGGGCAATCTCACACCTGTAATTTCTGTGTCACCTCAGGAAGGAATAATATAGCAGTAGTTTTTAAGATGTTTAGAACCACTCTGATATTTGCCTTTGTGATAAAGGGGGAAGAAACAGAGAGATTTGCAATAAGGTCTGCACCTTGAGCATTGCTTTTTTATTCCATATGTTTATTTTCCATATGCAGTGTATCCTTTTAACATTACAGTCCTAATCTTAAATATAAGAAATTGAGCCCTTCCTTCCAACATTCCTCCCTTTGTCCACTTTTCTGTCATTGTCGTTTTGAATCAAGAGTCTAGATTCATGATTAATACCTTAGTTTAGTCTTTTTTCAAACTAAGTTTCCAATAATTGTTTTTCAACAAAACACACACACACAATCTTGTTTATAAACTACAAGGACTCCATAAATATTTCAAATATTATAATCAAGTGACAGTGGGTTCCATTCTGACCTAATGATTTTAATTCCCAGTCAAAGTGATAATTCAGACATTATTATCACTGAACAAGCATTTCACAATGAGTTTGAAGAGGAAAAGTAAGTGAGGACTGTAATTGAGAACATATAGCTTCTGTTGGCCAATATAACTAGCTTTAACTGTACTGATGGAGAAGTAAGTGGCACTGACAACCAAGCTTTCTGATTGTGGAGGAAATGTAATAGCATCTAAAATAAATAAATAATTACATTTAGGGTTGTAATGGCCAGTAAAGCTATGTCTGTATCACTTCTTTATTAAATCACAGCTTGTTTGCTCTGTGCACATGCAAATGTCTGATCCTTTTCATCTAAAATTCTAAAGTAGACCCTGCACATGATTCAGTGTCTCCCAACTGTGCATACTGGCTTGTTACATTTACTAACCTGAATATTGTTATTGTCTGATGTCCATTTGAGTGATTGTGACTCGCAGAAGCAGAAGATAATTAATACAAAACAATTTTACATTGATATACAGTAACACCTTCCATGTTGGAGGATGTTTCAAAGCGAAACACCATAGTACAAATGTACACTAAAGAAAACTGCATCAAAATAGGTCAACACTGTGGGTTTCTCATTTAGGCCTGTATTAAAGTGGGACCTGTCCACCAGAATGTCCTCAGGTGTTGGGCGAAAAAGGCCTTGTACAAATCTGTATGTGGTAGTCAAGGATTCATATGTCACAAACCCTAACTTTAACCAAAGGGAGTATCAAAAAAAAGCCACTTACTTTACTTCCATCAAGAAAATATTTATTTCCTGAACTAAGTGTCCAAAGAAAGATTTAATCACACTCGAGAAGAAGTGAATCCATCAATGACATTTTGGTTTTACATGATGTAAATGTTGTTCTCTAATATTTTCTAGAATTGTGCTTCTGCTTTCTGTATTAAAACTAGTACACTAATGTGGTCTGTAAAGAACTGTATTGATATCTACTGTAATATATGGGATGGGTCCACACAAATCTAATTGCAAATTGCTACCCGCAGGTAATTGTTGCCTCTCCAAGGGCAGAGTGTAGAGAGAGTTTAGATCCCTTGTTAAACTCCCACAGAATTCAGAAGGTGGTAGTTAGACCAATGCATTGGGCCATAATAGTGTCAACACAATGAATAACTGTGCCAATCAGAATGAATAACTGCATCTCTCCCAGCTAAAATAAATATAAAACGAACAGTATCACATTATTTTCCCTTCATTTAAGTTTCATTTCGAGGAAATGTTAAAACAAACACCTAAGGATGGTGTTGAGTATTGTGCTTGTTTCAAAAGATATCTTCACTGAACATTTCTTGTCGCTTTCTTGCAGAATAAGCATAGCATCCAGCTGCCCAAAACGCGAATTTAAGCCAAAGCCCGTAGTGCCTCTGTCTTTTGAACCTAGTGATAACCAGCATCACAATGGTATTTCATACAGCGCTTCATTCAAATCATCTGGTAAGGAAATTTAACTTGCTTACAAATACTGATTTGCATTTACAATCTCATACTAAGAGTACACTATCACTCCACAAGCATAAATTCCAATGTTACTTTTAGGAATAGTTATACCTGTGGCCTCTCGCAGGTTTATTATTCAGAAAGTTATGTTTGTGGTTTTTGTACATTTTAAATAGTGTTTTATGGAAAGAGATGTTCATTTGAATAGTGTTGTATATAATTAATATACAGAAATTAAAAGATTTTAATAACTGCAACGATACAAAAAATTACATCCAGTTTTGAGCCTGATTGGAAAATTATTTAATTTCGTTAAGATTAATATTTTTGTGCAAGTTCACACACGAGTTGGTAAAACTCCCAACTCTGCATGCTTAACCCACCATTTCCGTTTCTGTTACCATTCAGCTAAACGTCCCTCATTCAGGTTCCTTCGCAGATCAAAGCACACACGTTGCCCTTGTGAGTAGTCTATCAAACGTGATGTGTGACAACTCCTCAATGCATGTTTGTAAATCAAATATCCTGGAATTACTAACGTTTCAACCACTTTGAAAAGTGGGTGTTAATTTTGGTCAATTATCGACATGATTTTCAGGCTTGTCTGATTCCAAGTTTTTAAAAAAAATCTAAAGTGTGCTGTTGTATAAATCACATGTATTTTGTTTTTGCATCCCTCATATTAACTTTTCCTGATTGTATTTCATGGAACTTCTAAAAAAAATTCTGTGTCTATTAATATTTTACACTATTTTACACAATTTCGATTGGTAAATGATCTTGAAAAATAGTTAAAAATCCATTCTCATTGTTTTGTTGTTCAATGTACCTCAGTTTAGGGGTACTTTACAACCTAATTTAACTTTTGTACGCTACTTGTCCAGCATTGTATGCTTTGATTTCCATTTATGTGATTTGACAGGATATGTCTATCACTTGATGTTTTCTCTGAAAGTACTATGAAATGCCAAGGAAAAAGAAAATGTTATAAAAGAAAAATGTTGGTTTTGATGTTTTCCAGCTACGATATTATAGCGTAGGAAAATTTGGACACAAATATTGAGTGTTCTCGTCTGGTGTTTATGTGCCATGTTTTTTCTCTGAGTGTTCTTCCCCTGTCTGCTAGCAGCCTCCTAGCCACCAATTTATTCCAAATGGTTTAACCACACATTGATTTAATTAAAAATAAATTTTATCCCATCACACACAGCTTCTTCATCACATTTGGACCAGCCTGGCTGTAAAGCTCTATATGATTTTGATCCTGAAAATGAGGGAGAGCTTGGATTCAAGGAAGGCGATATCATCACTCTGACAAATCAGATCGATGAGAATTGGTTTGAAGGCATGATAAATGGAGAATCTGGATTCTTTCCTATTAATTACGTTCAAGTTATTGTGCCTTTGCCGCAGTGAAAACATGGCTGATCGCTTTTTCACAAATTTCAGGACATGAACTCATGTTGAAATCAACTGAACAAGACATTTCATTACTGTGGCATTCTGTGAAAGCCTTGCCCCTTGACTGACTTTTGTATACGTCTTCTATTGGTGTATTTATTTTTTACATGTTTCATTTGTACTGAAAATGTTTTCTTCAATTGCTACAAAAGTAATGCGAACCTAATCTATTTCCACAACAAAGTTTACAATTTGTAAGTATATGTTTTTGTTTGCCTGCATCCTCAGTTTCTTATTACAGTGATACAGTAGGTAAAACATTTACCTAAAATGAAAACCATTCTTGAAACATACAATTTGATCATTGTGAGTATTATTAACTGTGATTAACTTTTTCAGATTCTGACATGCGGTCTTGAGCCATTTCCATTGGCAGTGTAACTTATTGTTATGCAACAAGATGTTGTAATAAATGTGCTACAATGAAATGTAATGTAAGTAGCAAAATTGGCCTGTTATTTTGTCTATATGATCATTGTGTGAAATGTACTGTATTTCGCAGCAGTGATTTGTGCGTGGGGAAGAAACATGGATGTACAGTATTTTTTTTAAATTAAAGTTCAGAAAAGTTGTATGCATTAAACATTTTTTTTCTGCATAGTTAACAAAAAGAATGTTTACTCTTACACCACGTGTGTTTGGAGTCAGGGAGTGCAAGGTCTGATCCACATCTCTGCTCAATTTCCCTTCAAACAGCATTGAACTGGGGTACCAGCCAATGGGCCTGGGAAGGAATCACAGAAGTTAGACCGGTTATGGTAGGAATTTATATTTCCATAGCTACAATTGAAGGGAGCAGTGGAGATTAAGCCAAGCTGAGCAACAGGCCTTAGAAAAAAGTGCTCCCTTCAGAGCTAGGGTGGCAGAAGAATACGATGCAATCAGCCAGAGTTAAGGATATTTTGGCTGTATTTTATCTTATTGTAAATTTCCCTTAGTCAAAGGCAATTTTTGTGCCAACATCCCTTTTAACGTCAAAGTAAATTCCAATCAGGAATTACTCATTACTTTTATTCAGTCTCCATGGGAAAGGATTTATCTTGAGAATACATAATATCTCATGAATTTTGAAATGTATTCTTTGAATGATCCAGGAGTGCAAAGGTAATGTGTTTGATTTGGTGGCCAGAGTAAACTGTGGGAATTTTTTTTAACAGAAATTATGTCTTCTGTGTAAAAGTGAAACATTTGATTTACAACTCTGTTATAAGTTCACTGTAAAATTAATTGCTCAGATCTTCAAGTCCGTTCTTGGTTGAGATAATTTGTAAATGGGAATATGCTAGTATTTCTCTGTATACATGAAGCAAACCTTTTGAGACATCCAGTTTTAGCATGGAAGTTGCAAAGGCATCTGCACCTTACCTTATCCTTTATAGCTGAAGAACATTTTATGGAGAAGAATCTTTGAGCAGATTATTCTTGACTTTAATGCAGTGCAGAAGTAAGTGTGGGAGATCCATGGTATGTTTGTGATGTACACTCGTGAATAAAAGGCACTAAACTACTGATACAAGCTAAATCACTCCCCAACGTGTTTAGGTTAAAACCTTATGGTGTCTGAGGGTTCTCCAGCCATCTAACCATAGTGGTCCCCCATATGTTAGTAAAGAAGTGTATTTTCTTTAATGCCTGAGAAAATGGTTAGATATTTGGGCATCTCTGTGTTGACGCAGACCAAGATAACAAGAAGCCCAAGATATAGTTCACCACAATCTTGCTGGTCTTTCAGTACGCTTTACTTAAGGTGGATAGACTAATCGAATGGAAGAGAAGCAAATCTTTTACTCTTTAGTGTTTTACTGAATTCTGAGCGCTGGTACTAGAAACTGAAAATGTTTGGCATAAAATGTCGACAATACACCACTTGGCTGGAGATGGGTTTTGTAAGAGAAATTGCATAAAAAATATTAAATAAATTGACTGCATACAGCAAGTTGGTCTCCCAACAAATTTTGTGGGAATTTATAATGATACAGATACATGCTAGGTTAGGTGTAGGTGATGATTGGTTTTACTTATGATGACTGTACAATAGCAATTATGTGTGGCCAATAATTAATTGCAATTAAATGGTGCAAACTATTTTTACTGTGACAAAATTAGAAAATCTATTGAAATTGCTGCTTTGTACTGTAAATGTTTTTTATTTGAAACTGATCAATTCGGGGACTTTGATTTCCATTTGTATCTTGAACCTCAGACTTCCTTTTAGTTGAAATAAACAGAGTTTATATACTGCAAATTGATTTTCCATAAATTGGCTTCAAACCTGATGGTTCCTGCAAGTGCCTCTCTTGGAGCTGAAATTTTACCTGTTGTGACTGTGATTTAGAGATGTAATCTCTCCACTTTATTACCTTTGTACTGGTTTTGATGCACAATCAAACCAATCTGCCCCTAATCTCTGCTAATGTCACTAGCACCAGCAGGATCTTGGTGATCTACATTCAAATACTCCCAGTTTCTTGTGATAGTCACACTTGCCCTTTGTTTAATGCATCCCCACAGGCTGAGACCAGAAATATTGTATCAGAAGCAAAATTGCCACTCTCTCCACTGGATGAAACGTAATGTAATTACATTGAAGAAAATGAGGAAATAATCTGATATTGATCCATCTATATCTGGCCATATGTAGAAGGCTGGCTGCTCTGGGAACATCTTTGATTATAAATGCAGTATTTGGTACAAGTACAAGAAACTCAAAATTGCTTTTAGTTGTTGAAGTGAAATCAAGATTAATAGTATTCAAAGAATGGGCAGCTGACACAATGTACATCATGTATTTCAATTGTCTAGGCTTTTTGTCTTTCAAAGAAGAACACAGATGTTACTTTTTTTTCAAAACCAGTTCTGGATTACACATAGTCGTCCTGTTGTTTTTCCATTTTCTTGTGCTAATCTTGGGTTTTACAATGCACAGTCCAGGCATAGCAAATGAGATCTTATTTTATAAGTGACTTACAGAAAACAACTTTCTGTTGCTCTCAGCCTACATTCTCATCCGCAGGTTTCCAATGAAATAAAGAATTTCAGTATTCTCCATCAGAGAAGAATGGTTCGAAGACTCAGAATAACATGCTTGTAAAATGTTTAGCTTCTGTTCCAAAGTTAACTTGGTCTGTCATCTGTAGATATATTCCTGAAAATTGCTACGTTACAGATTGTTGGTTTATAAGAGATTATTATTAAAATGAAGATCCAACCGCTATCTTTGTTAAAGTAAGACGTTACAGTTGTGTTTTAGGAAAGTAATAGCTACAGATTGACCCTATTCAGAAAAATGTCTTATCTTAAGAGGATGACAGGTGTTCAAGGTTACATATTCTCCATGTATTTATAGACACCCACTGTACATTTCTGCTAACTTATCACTTTGTTATACAGAACATACGTTAATAAATCAGACAGCATGAAATATTAGTTGTCTGTTACTTTGTAATATGATCATTATCCTGTGGTATTTCATCAATGTCTCACTTTTTCCTTATTCTGAATGCAAATTGACACTTGTTCTAATGCACAATTTAAAGAGATTGTTACAATTGTCATCTCTAATTAAGTTATTTTCTGCCATTTTTACATATAATTAAAAAACATCAATTACTCGAAAACCAAGTCACTTGTAAGACTGTTTTTCTACACCCACAACACTCGTGAACACTTGCACTGACATTCCGTCTCTGGCATTTAGGTAGAGATTACAATATAGGAGCAAGTCATTCATGAACACCAACTTTCATTTATACAGCGCCCTTCATGTGGGGAAGCATCTGAACACTTTCAGCATCGAATACCAGCTAACCACTGGAGCCAACTATGAAAGTATTCTACATCAATTGTCATAAAATTCTGTGGTAGACTTACATATAGTCTGCAGCAACTACACAATATCAATGAAAATCTACATTTTACTTGACTAAATTTTTGTTTCGCATCCCTTATGGGTGCTAGATTCCTACTTGTGTTACATATGCTCATTTATAATGGGCTTACTGGTAAAATATTAACAGCATGGCAGGCATCATACTAATGGGAAGTACATTCACATTTCCACTTGCTTGGGCGAGTTTTTTTTACTGTAATGGTGTTTAAGAGTTTTAAAAACATCTACTGTGCCTTGTGAGCACAGCATGAAACAATCCAATCTTGGCAGAAATCTAGAGGATTTGACTCCCACGCTGGAACTTGATAGTCATAGTCTAGGTTGTCATACCTGTAAACTACTTAGACATGCTGCATAGTCAGAGGCACCATCCTTTCATTAAGACGTCATGTCTCCCTACTTTTCTGATGGGAGTTAGATTCTTTGGCACTATTTGAAAAGAGAGTGTCTCTCCCAACTATCCTTCAGGTTAAAGATTCACTCACAATGGCAGTCTGTTTCTGTTGGACTAATTTTGCTCAAAATCGCCTCAGCCCAAAACGTTTAGAGACTTTCGGGGCTATAAAAATGCAAGTTCTTCATCCTTCCTCCACACCTTGAAAATATGGAGCAAGAAATTACCATATGGCCCATCAAACTCCTTCCACACACAGGTTCACTCATCATAAACCTTCCATTATTCATTTCACTTTCTGAGGATGGTAAAACAAAACTCTGTTGCAATTTTTAAACAGCTTAGGTAAAAGCAGCAGAGCTCCAGGATGGGTTTCAAACCTCTCATTTCCATTATACATCTTTGATGGTCTTTCCTTGACATTTCTATTGTCTCAGACGTTAGTGTACCATTATGTTCCACGCAACATTTATTCATTGCCACTTGTACCTCCTTACAAACCCTCAACCTCGCTCTGCAATAAATATTTATCCAGTAGTTAATTGCTTCAGCTGGACTGTCAGCGTCTGTCAGGGTGAATGAAGTGGATACTGGAGGCGATGGTCCAGTGGGGGTGGGAATATTTAAATCACTGCAAGTTTACTCAGTGATTAAACCGCTGTTGATTGCAAGGGGAATGCTGGACCGTTACTCAATTGCAATACAGGAATTCTCGGTGTTTTGCACAGAGGAAAACAATACAATGCGACGTATTTTACAACTGAGGTTCTGTAATAGCCTTTTTTTAAAATATATATATAATAATAAAAAAACAGGAAGCTTCTGATAGCCTATGCTTTAATCACAACACGTCAGTAAGAGGAGTGGCTCAGCTGATGGGAGCCTCAGTGACCTACTTTCATGTTCATTACACCACTGTAAGGTAAGGAAGGTTAAGTGCAGCACAAATGCACAACGAAGGGGGGGAAAGGGATCCAAATAAATACCACAAAGACAACGTTTGGAAACTTGTGGTGACTTGCAAGCTTCTGAACCACTGCAACCCTTTGGGTTGATTGCCCTCCCACCCCCACCACCACTAACCCTCAACGTTTGCTTTTTTTTTGCTTTTTTTTTGCTCCATTGCGTTAGTGGATTCCAAAGAGGCGTTTGTGGAGGAAATCAGACGGTTTTTGTTTCCAATCAGAACCATTTCTGTGCGAGGCACCGACAATCCGACAATGCGGGGGGAAGTTGCAGGAGAAACACATGCAGCAGCACAGCTTTAATCGTTAGGAACCGAAATGAAAGCGAGTGGATGCGAGTGTGAGTAGAATGGTTTTATTTTGTTTCAAGTGCCTCGACTGTTCCAGTTGGAGCAACTGTCGATGGCAATTTATATACTGTATCATATCAACCGGTTTGAAAGCCTTCTGCATTTTCGGTTGCGATTTAAAGGCTGTTTAAAGGCTGTTGTTGGAGGGTGGTTCTAATTAAACGTGAAGGCTTTAAAACAGTCACACTCTGCATATTGCACAGCAGCTAAAACATAAAGGGCATCAAAATAGATTCATTTAAAACTTAACAGTGCTGTTGCCTCGAACTTTGAAAGGCCTGGAGTGTGGACTGGTGTCATTAATTTGTCATATTCTTAATGAAATTGCTGCTACTTTATGATGAATAGCAAGTCAGGAAGCTGGCTTTAATGCAGTGACCATTCCTGTGACATATAAATGAGTTCATGCAATATGCCCTTCAGTAATACTGCGGCACACCTTCTTCATTTATTTAAATGTCCCTGGGATTTATATGCTGTTAATTTTATTTATAAACCTAGTTCAAATATTCACATGGGCTGAAGACGCGGGCTATTTTAATTTATAAGGAAGCACTGATTTCACTTCATCGTGTTTTTTGTCTCCCCATTACTTCTGTCAATGATTTGGATTATCCATGGATGGATGCAGCAATATTCGATGACAGTATTACTAAAGAGCACATTAATTTTTTTTTCACACTCAGATCCTGAGGGGTGGCGAGGGGGAAGAGACACCAAATCATTTGGACATGTCTTGAAATAGTTTGCCAGGTGTGGGAGTACAGTAACCTACAATAATAAATCATAATTGGATTCCTACTTCTTCAGTAAGTATCTGCCCTTGGTGTAATACTGCATGCTGTAGTACCATTCGAGTCTGCTTGTTGACCAAGTCTAATCCCATGTACCCTGACCTTGAATACTAATCTTATTTATGAGTTCATCTCAGTAGTCAGAGTATGATTAGGACTGAATGAAAACCCGTATTAAAATTACAGCAACTTCCTGAACATTGATGAAAGGTTTTGTAGAAGAATTAGGTAAAAGCTGCAACACAATTGTAATTCGGCAATTCACCAGGGACTAGATAAAGTCCAAGAATTACCTCACCAAAAAAAAATATTTCCTACAAATTGTTTTACCAGATGAGGTCTGCAACAGATCAACACATTGATGCGAATCATCTTAGCTTGCAAGATTTTTCTCACACTAAACCAAACCCCAAATGTCTATTAAAGTTCTCCAGATTGAGTTGTTTTTTTAAAACTGGATGTTTGAATATTTAATATTCAACAATGCATGAGCCACATATAGCAAATTTAAATCGCAAAGCTGTGAAAGGAAATGCTGTCTCAGTTACATTTCATTTCATCAGATGGGTTAAACAAATTTACATTTATTTAAATCAATGTAGAAAAACAAAGACATTTACTAAATATGCACACACTTGACTTATCACCTAATGCCCACCCAACAATATATGACCTAGTTCAGTCCCATAATAAGGCTCTGGAGCAAGAGTAGTTTAGGGACTCCCTTCCCTCATGATTCTGAAATCTAAAAGGTTGCTTAATTTTACCCTCTCCAGCTCCTCATGTTCCAATAGGTTTATCTGTCTTTTGTAAGCAGAAGCAAGTAGCCATATAAATATGAAGCCCTGACCATACATAGTCCAGAACTTGTATTGAGAGGTGCAATGTAGAACGTATTGATGACCTGGAGACAGATTCCATTGGGAACTCTGAGGGACAACAGCTAGCAAATGGGAAAAATATTTACCAATTCACATTTATGAACCCACCCTAACACACTGACTTATTAAACTGTGCTTTTGCAGACTACAGGGAGACTTCTATTAGAGAACTGTGTGGTAATTATTTCCACTATGATGGATAGTTAGGTATCCAAAGGTCAATCTAAGAGCTGCGATACGAAAAGTATATTGACAAACACATTAAAATTACATAAATAAGGTCAACCTCTTATGTATTTTTAACCACTACAAAATTGCCAAGCAATTCAAGTGATGATGTCCCTTTAAATTGATAGTTTATTGCTTTGGGATTTTGTTTGCTCTTCCCTCCAATTTGCATGTATTGGGTTTCTCTAGAGTTACTTCATTGTACTGTAAATAAAAATCAAATGATTAACACTTTGTCACATCAAAAATGTGGCCATCTCAAAATACTCTAAATTTCTTAGCTTCAAAGCAAAATATGCCACTTCAATAAAGTGGAATTTAAATCATTAGTCATTGAAATGATATTTCCAATTCATAAATAAGATTTCTATCCTTCCTTAGGGTGTGTTTCATTGGCAACTTTGAATTCCTCTCCTTTGGAATAGAAGGAAAGGTAATACATTTCGCAGGATGCTGATAACACATAGTTACCATGACAACTGAGAACTTGCTGGCTTCAGAACGACAGGTGCTGGAGGATGCACCTCAGGACCCATCACTAGCTAAATCCATAGAGCTGTTGTCAGATAATGTGCAGGAGCCACAGTATGTGATGGAGGTTTCAAGCAATGATGGACATCTACCGTCAGCAGTGATCAGGATCAATAGCTCTTCGAGGCAAGTCTGAACAATCATTAACCAATGTTAATGTACAGAAAACACACTTGTGTTTTCGCAACGCAATTGCAAACTGCACTAATGCAATGCCATTAAGCTAATATGCAATGAACATTAGGAAAGGTAGCAGCGATGCCCAAGAACAGAGATTTAACAGCATCCTTTTTAAGCTATTTAAAACCTCAGACAGTAATTTGGTGTGTAAACAGTTGTTGTGAGGAACATTTTAGTCTGGTTCAGATCATTAATTTATCAATTCAAAGATCTACTGGCACTATTTCTCCAAACCCTCATACACACACTCATAACATCCAGGCTCGACTATGCAAACTCCTTGCTTGTCGGCCTCCCCAACTCCTCTCTCCATAGGCTACAAATCACCTAGAACTCTGCAGCCCATGTCCTCTCCCGCACCAGACTCCGTGACCCCATCACCCCCATCCTCATCCAACTCCACTGGCTTCCCACCACATAAAGGATACAGTTCAAGATCCTGGTCTTCACCTTCAAAGCCCTCCATAGCCTTACCCCTCCCCCCACCTCTGTGACCTCCTGAATCCCAAACTTTCCTGCTCGCTCCTTCCACTCAGTGGGCTCCAGACTGCTTCAAGTCCCCACCTCTCCCACCACACTATTGGCGGGTGGGCCTTCTGTTGCTCTGCCCCCACCCTCTGGAACTCTATCCCACAGTCCCTCCTCACCCCCTCCCTTGCCTCCTTCAAGACCCATCTCAAGATCTTCTTGACTGCTTTGGATCCTCCCTACTTTAGACCCCCAGCTTAGCTCCGAAACACTGACTGTCCAGCACCTTTGGACATCCTCCCGACATGAAAAGCGCTATACAAATGTAATTTTGTTGTTATTCTGACAATGTACCACTGTATATCATTGTTCACCTTGTAGGATCAACAATAAATATGATCAGACTGATTTATAGCATTGTAAAATATGAAACAGCTGTTTTGTTAAAAAAAACGGGGCAACTGAATCTCTCTTTTCTAGTTTGTCCAGTGACGTTCAAATCTGCAGAATTTGCCATGAAGCCAATGACAATGAGGACCTCCTTTCTCCATGTGAGTGTTCTGGAACTCTGGGGACCGTCCACCGCAGTTGCTTGGAGCAATGGTTGGCAGCTTCAAATACCAGCCACTGTGAACTCTGCCACTTCGAATTTGCTTTAGAACGCATGGCAAGACCACTGAATGAGGTAAAAGTGCGGACAAAGCTAAAGACAAAACGAATGGATGGACCGTAAATACTAACGCTAGAACCATACAGAGTGCCACATAACATTACAAACCTACCATCACATCTGTGCTTTATGCTATATCCCTTCAGCTATGTATCCCAGAGGTTTGTTTGCTTTCTTTACCACCATCAAGCAATGCATTGTTTTCAACAAACTCAGTGTGTCCTAAGTTCTGAGTATTCACCAAATGATCTCACTCCTTAGGGCTCACTATGAGGCCCTGAAGTGCCCAGCTCATCATTTCCTTGCAATCCAATTCAGCTTCTGAATGAAGAAGAATTATCCTTTCAAAACTAAGTTTGAATGTACTTCAGAAGCCCTCCGCCATTCTAAACCTTTAAATCTTTTCCTCCTGCTCATGTGACACTGGGTCAAATAACTTGCTAAAACTCCAATTATGCAACATTCATCAAGTCCCCTCCCCCCCAACAATGCATCAAGCCTGTTTTTAATCCCCAAAACTCTACAAAGAATTGCCAAGCAAACTGTCCCACCCATAGAAACTCCCTTTTGCATTTCATGAAACTCGTGTGTAATTTTCCTGCTAATAGCATAACCACTGCAGATGTCAGGATAACAGTCGTGTAATTGCCAGAGTTACTTTCCAAGGAGATGGAATGATGAGACTGGGGCAGCCAGAAAGGCAGGATGAATGTGCTAGCAATGTCATAGAGCTATCACTGACTGCTTCTTGGCAACTTGCAAAGCAGATAAAATGCATCAGCAGAACTAGAAGGTGGATAAATACTTGTGCTCAGTTATAGTTAGATTTGATACTATTAAAGGTGAAGTATAATACAGTAGTGCCTGATTATGGGAATGCAAAATGTTTCGAGTTGTACAACAGCTCCAGGCAGGATAGAATGCATTTTACCTGCCAACTCATTTTGTGGTTATAAATAACTAAAATTTAGAAAATTACTGCCGAGAAAAACACAGACAGTCAGTCAGCCGGGAGCCTTGGAATTCATGGAATGATCACAGTAATTAATTATCTTAAGATACTATCAACTGTTATTGATCAACACAGAATAAATATAATTAAAAATTTATGCAGAATTCAGTACTCAGTAAAGCTTGTAAATTATGTAGGAGAAAGTTATAAGATTCAGGTTTTTACTTAGAGCTACGTTATGATGAGTAAAGGTTTTGCCGGGGACCATTCCTACATAATAGTAATGGAATTATAAGGACTCGTGCCAGTTGGCAGCTAAATAACATGCAGCACTTACAGAAATTCTATTCAGCTCGTTGCTACGTTTTTCCTTTCAGCGGTGCTGCCAACTGCACCTCTGCCTTTGATAACAGTATTGGAAGGTTAAAAAGCTGCTTGCTAGATTGACACATCACAGAAACAGGCCATTCGGTTCGATTAGCGAGTGTTGGAAATTTATACTGGTGCTTCTAGAGAAGAAACTTCCAAACCACCAGCTCTGTGAAGTGCACAAGTAGTTCTCTGTTGACACCTGTGCTGTGGAGTCTGCCCTATAATTCTATTTCAAGTGGCTCTATAAGATAAACATGCCATTAACTCACTTCAGAGCATCTCAAAGACTTCAGGACAGTCCACTATAATCCACTTTCAAGCATACAAGACAACAATGGTCAGTATGGCTGTCACCAACATAATAATGGGCTCAACTTCACAATTACAAATGTTTAACTGGGGATCAACTTAAAATGGCGTTAACACGAGTCAGATTTTCCACGATTAGTAAATGCTTATGTGGCCTATATTAGAAAATCCAGCATTTGGTTCACAACTTAGCAAACAAAAATGTATTTTTGGCTAAGCAACAGTCCTATGAAAATCATAATGTATGTGCTGATTCAGGCCTCTAAGGACCATCCTCAGCATGACATTTATTGTCTTCCTAGCTTGTGAATTTTAATAGGTTAAAATTCTAGGTGTCTTATAAAGGTTCTTCACATCTAAATTGAATTAAAGGTTAGTGACCAATGCGATGTAACTCCCTATTCATACCTCGTTGATGTTCATCCAAGTCTTAAGAGCTCCCACCGCCAATCAGGGTCAAATCTATAAAATACAGTATTCATGCTGTTATGAAACATTAAATGTCCAAGGCCAGTTGCTAATATCTCAACACGGCAGCAAGAGCTGAGCTATTCAAAATAATGCGACAGGTAGTATCAGAAAAAAGGTGCTAGTCTCAGTGATGTTTGGATTTGGGTAATTACAAATGATAAGAAATGCATAAACAGCATGGCATTTTTAATATTTAGTTCCTATTCAAGGGGGAAAAATTGACAACTGCATGAACTGTGATGTCTTAGCTCTCTCTTGGTAACTCCGTTGCACTGCACAGTTGAAAGTGACTCATGTTCACTTTTCTAGTGGCTGAAAGACCCGGCATTGCACCATGAGAGGAGGACATTGTTTGGAGATTTCATCTGTTTTCTCTTCATTACCCCGTTGGCTAGTTTGTCAGGCTGGCTGTGCGTCCAAGGAGCAGTTGACCATCTTTACTTTAGCAGCAGCATGGAAGCGGTTGGTCTTATTGTTCTTACATCAGCCCTGATCACGATATACCTTTTCTGGACCATTGTAAGTAGATTGTTATCAACGTATGCTTCTGTACATTATTTCATGGGTGTTTATAAGAGCAACATAGTTAATGCATTTACAAAGGTCCTTTTGAAGTCAATATTCAAATATGAAATGTCAAATCACATTACTGTGTAATGAACATTTAATAAGCCCAACAATATCAATTGAAAACTTACAGTGTATTCCTTCCCACTTCTGGCCATAGGTTTCTTTTCGCTATCATATTCGACTATTCAAAGAATGGAGACGGAGCAATCAGAACGTTAGACTACTTATTCCTCGACCACAAGTGTTACTTAACAACCAACCCAATCCTCTCCTGGCACAGAAATCAAGTAAATTACAGTCTAAAGAAACCATTGTCTGACCGTTTAAGGGGCGATTGAGTACTTCAAGAGCACCAAACACGAAAATGCTACCAATCCTGTGGATTGTTAGGAAATGATCGAGGATGTATTTTTTAAAGGCAGTTCAAGAACAGATGAACTTTGTCTTGCACTGTATTGCAAATTCACACAACTGGTTGTTACACCTGTCTGATAGTATGCTTTTAGCTGATGGATTATCAGCACAGATGAAGTAGAAATCAATTTGAACTTCTTTTGTAAAAAAAAGTGTGTTTAGGCAAACGATGTTAAACCAAATATAAATAAACATGTAATATGTACATTTTCTGTGTTTTGTTTTAAAAACATGGGGTTAAACAGATGGAACACAATTGTTAAATAGACTTTTATTAGAGATACAGAAACATTTAAATCATACCAACGCAAGAACTCCACCGCCCAACATACCCATTGTACAGAATTGTACACATTAATGATTCTCTGCTTGGCAATAAGTTTAAAGCAAACTTAACAGGAAATTTGTAAAGTGTACTAAACAGAGCACCACTCCATCTGAGTCACTAAGCCATTAACCAATTTAATAACTCTGAAGAGACCAATAAAATTCTGATTGACAAAATTATGAATGCAGCAAGTCAAGGCCAGTGACATTTCACTGTCTCGTGTGCAAAGTAAACACATTGCTGCTTTATTTCATTCACACAGTGTATGGCATAAAATACAAAAGAAATTAATATGCATTCAAATGCAGTGAAAGAAATCATAACTGTGACAAGTGAATTTTTTTATATCCCATTTGATTTATTTTCAATATACTAATGCTCTGTTGCAACACAAGAAACCCATGTTAATCTTTTTAAACTGAAGGGGAACATTGAGGCAAACTAATGCATTCCTCAGGATCATTTCTCGTAGAAACCATGGTCATACTTGTACATCAAAATAGACTCAAGTATTTCTTCTATCAAAACATTTGTTGGAATTATATACAGAAGTATCAGTTTAGCATACCAGAATATAGGATAACAATCTATTATAGTCAATATCCAAATATCTAGCTCTGGTCAAGAAGAATGTTTGCAATTACAGGCTTAATGAGGGTAGGGCCTTCTCTCTTACTAAAGCAGTTCAACACTTAAATTTCCAACAGACCTATTTAAAGGAATGCAGAAGTTGCCAAGAAAACCTACTATGAAACATTGGAAAGATTCAGTCCATCACAGTATCCAAACATGTACAGTCCCTTAACAGGTTGCCATGAGTTTTGAATCCATGGCTTGATACAATTAATTATGGGTTGAAATTAGTGTCAATTCATTAGGGCAGCTGCAGAATTGACAAATCAGGGTTTTGTTGAGACATTTTACAAAATGCGTCAAAATGGAAAGGATATCCCAGCTAATCTGTACTTCTGGTTTATCTTTGGGGAGGGCAATCCAATTCTAGCAGCTTGAAACTGACAGTTTTAAATTCAATAAACTGTTTCTCAGATCAATGTGAAGGATCATTGCACTGTTCAATGCATTCCCTGGTTCCCCTAATGACAGCTCATCTTCTCATTCACCTCTCCCAGCAGAAGAGCTCAAACTCTTTATAGTCTATTTCAACCCTTCTCAGTGGCACGTGATTGTGTGCAATATCCATTCAGTGCATTGTAGAAGCCACTACATTTGTATTGCTAAAGCCAGCACCCCCCCACCCACTTTATAAACTGTCCATTAAAAATATACAATCGCAAAAGATATTTTTAATTAAACAATTTGCACTTCAATATTTGCTCATAAATAGTTTAATTGATGCACTATAAAATATTTCCATTTACACCATTTGACCATTGAAACAAAATAAAGAATGAATTGCAAGTCAACACCAGAACATCTAACCACACCAAAATAGAATAATCGTACAATTAAACCTCCTCTCCAATTCTAGTATTTTTAGGGCTGAGGGTAGAGAAGGTAGAAAGATACAATATTCAGTAGAGTGAGCTTATGAAATATACAACTGTACTTAAGATCAAAATAGAAATGTCACATACCAACAAAATATTTTGTAACAATTTCAGGTATTGTACCAGTCACAGAATTCATAGTTTTCCTAGAATTCAATCATGGATAATCAAATTCAATGAAAGAATGCTTGCATTGCACAAGCAAAGCAACTTAACAGTGAAGGTGACAGTTCATAATGCTACATTTTCTACACTCAACACTGACAACCTAAAAAAATAAGTCATTAAGCATTTCATTCAGAATTGATGCATTTGGACTGTAGTAATAAATATAGGATTATATTACACAAAACCCACACCAGTTCAAATGGAACCTTTAGTGAGAACATCTTGAAGGAACATTTAGACACAAGCACACATCCTCACAACTGGGCTTCCCTAATATTACAATTTAGATTGGAGTGATTAGAATTTTTAGAGCTGTATTGTAACTGACCCTTTGTCACAGCGGTACATGAAAGAACAGTGTAAACAAGAACCAGAGTCAAAGGTTTAAAAACAATTTGTCCTGCTTATCCATATAATAAACATTCTATGTTTAAATTGTGCCCTCGCAGAATGTATTATCGTAAATCAGGTTTACTGTAAACAATTCTACATTGGAAGAAGACTTAATAATGGGATTACTTGGTTTACTGGAGTTCCCATTAACAGGTTATTTTATCATTCTGAAAACACTTAGTTCTTCTGAAAAGATATCTCTACGTGTTGAAATAGCAGAGTAGCATCCAATAACATACAGCACAAAACTTCACATCAGAAATATATTCAACAATTGGAAGACCCGGGCCTCACAATCTTTAGCTTTGTTCATTACATCATAATGCAGTTTGGATCTTCATTTCTCAGTGGAATCTGAAAACCAAACAGATAATATTTTGGGTGTTGAAATGAACAAAGAATTTTGCTTCAGTACAAAAATCAGTCTGTTATTTTTGTGGGCAAGCAAGGAGAAATAGAAAGATTCAACTACATTTAAAAACAGATCAAAAGTTAGTTTGCATCCCACAAATAGCAGTTTATGCTAAGGCCACCTCAGTGGAAACCTCAAATAGAAAGGGTATTTTTACCCCAAAAGGTAAATTTTTTAAATGTTTTGCTTATTACAAGGCTAAAGGAATGAATGAGTGCAGGAAATATACCAAGTTAAAAATCAAAAGGAGACACATTATTTCACCTAAAAAAACACAAGCTGCAGTCCTATAGAAACTGCACTGAACAGAAAATACAATTCCTAAGCAGCAGTTCTTAGTGTATCAAGGCAACTAAATATCTGTGGTGATGCAACTATCCCAACTTGATTTGTCACACACCCTCCCAGTGTAACTTAACATTTTCCATTGCTTCGTAAATACAATTTACAGTTACAAAAATACTTTATGTGCATGTGTAGGGTTGATTAGTATACATCCTCACCTAGTTACACTGGATCCTAGTGCTAAATCAAGAAACAACAGCATTATTTTCTTCTTTCCTGATGTGTTCAGAAAAATACAGGAAATAAGTCTACAAGACAGACTAGATGCTGGAGCTTTCCCAATCCATTTTAAATCTTGAGGAGACAGATACTTTACATGGTAGAGAATATTTTCTTTAAAAATGCCTTAGTTATTGTTCCCAATTTTTTAAAAATATAGATTACCAAAGAGATGGAAGGTTAAAGGTACTACTTACAAACCTCTGCCATTTTAGGATTGGTTGAAGTTAGCGAGCCAGAAGTGACCATCTTATTTCGCACATGCCATTATCATGTGTGAAATCATGGGTTTGAAGTCATAAACGTAACATTCTGTGGTTATCAGGTGTCCAAATCATTATATAAAAACACAAGATGCCCATAGACTTCATAGAAGATGGGTTTTTTAAAAAATGCCTTGTTTTGGTGCTGTTAATGCCACTTGCTTCTGTATGTTATGTACAGGGAGCTGCTTAATATCACTGCTTAAAGGAAGTGTTATTGGCAAAGTTGTTCGTGGTGACCAGACAACCTGTAAATTGGCTTTTTTTTGTTCAGGTACATTGCAGCCTTTGATACCAAACAACACTGTTATAACAGATGTGTCCTGTTTTACCATTGCAAGAAATGCTGGGAACCATTAGGTATCACATTGAGAATGAGTATGGAGCCAAACAATTTATATTGTGTAAAAAGCAAATGCATTTATACCTTGCACCTTAAATCAATTAAATTTGTGTCCACTTTGACTTCTTCAGAATTGCTGTTCAGAACTGCTGGAGCTTTCATGATTTTCCGTGTAGCTACCTCCTGTGAATGCAACATTAAATTCATATAAAAAAAGAGTTTTCCACCCAAAAAGGCATGAGGGTCAATACAAACATTACAAAGACCAATTGCTGTAACACTAATACGTAACTGAAGGAATCCAAAAGGATTCAGGAGACTCAAGGCAATTCAAGCCACCAACATATAAATGGATTAGCACAGAACACTGAATTTCTATTTATTACCATGTAAGCACTCTTTAATACATTTCAGCAAAATTAAGCAGCTGTAATCACTTTGATCAAGTAATTTGCTATCAATCTCTTTAAATTATATGAAAGCATCCTGCAACTGCAGGATAAATTCTCAAAAAGCTTTTGCCCAATCTATGTACATAGTTATTTTTGGGAAGAATTTTGTGAAATTCTAATTTAATAATAATAATAATAATTCAAGGGCTTCCAAATTTGTAATGCAACAAACAAATGAAGCAGAATTAGGATTTTAACTGAAAATATTCAAGATCTGTGGTGAAACTTTACACTTAGTGGCCACTAGGTGTCTAGACTGATCTTTATATTGACAAAGAAAACAAATGCATCTAATGGCAAGAAATCATTAAGAAAATGTTTATCTAGTAATTACAAACCAACTGGACTTTGCATTCCAATCCATACATTTGCAAAGGACACCTTTAACATGTAGTTTAATCAATGGTCCTAATGCACCATATTAGGAATACTTTTCAGCTTGGCTCTGATGATAGCCCTCTCGCCTCCAAGTCAGAAGGCTGTGGGTTCAAGGTCCATGCCAAGAATCAAGTTTAGGCTGACATTTCAATGCAGTACTGGTGATGCACTGCATTATTGGAAGTGCCATTCTTTGGATGATGGCACTGAACTGAGGTTCTGTTCAGGTGGACATAAAACATGCCATGGGCACTATTTAAAAAGAGGAGATAGGTTCTCAGTATTTCAGGCAACAATCCCACAGATAAAATTGGTCATTCACTTCATTGTGTATGTAGGGCACTGTTGTGCACAAATTGGCTGCCATGCTCTAACAAAATAAACTGTCATTACTCTTTACAACATTTCCCGTGAAACACTTTGAAGTGTCCTCCTTAAATCAAAAGCTCTTTTATTAAAATCAAGGATTATTGCTTTTTAAAATTTCTCTCACTACCAGATTTTAATACCCACCTCTCCAATGCTGTTAGTGAGAACAATGCTAACATTATTTCCCGTTCCCCAGGAGTGTTGACTCTTCCACAACAAATCAATCGTAGGACTTTGGGGAATATCAGCACCACCAGCCCAAATCTGACCAAACAAAGAGATTAATAAAGTAATACTGTATCAAGATTGCCTGCACTCGACAGTTACAGTGCTGTTTACATGAATAACACGGACAAATGTTTACTTCAGTTTCTTTTTTTTTTAAAAAAAATGATCAGTTCAAATACACCCTTTATCTATGACATTTAATAGTTTATACTGAGTGGCAAAATAAATTTAGATGAGCGCATGTATAATAGTCAGGAAGCAATGCTGACCTGAAGGCCTGGAAGCCTGTAAACCCTAAATATACTTGACAAATTTCTGCAAATTACAGATTTCTTGAAGATAAATTAGCAGAAAGGGCTTCTTCAATAACTATCAGTTCTTGGATTTTGTTTTCACAACCACACACTTGCAGTAGAGACCAAAAAAAAATTAGTTGTTTGTAAGAGGATCATTTACAAAAGTAAGTTTCAGATAAATACTTACAATTACATTTTCTCCAGCTTTAAGATTGAAACATGGAGGGAACGTGTATGTAATGTCTTTGTGATCCTCACATTCGTTTCTCAGAATCCATCCATGTAATGGCTGATCCTGTGAATACATTTAGTTATTTTCAACTTAATATTTTCATTTGGTATAGCACCTTTCACAGCAGGAGGACAGAGCAAAGTTGAATGGCTATTTTGTGGGTGAACATCTTTACATGTGGACATGCAACACATCTTTTATTGATGTGATATGGTGCTATATCAAAGGATGATTATTAATATTTTGCTTATGTGATTCTAACACAACTCCTCTCAGTTTGACAACTGAAACAAAAGATATCGGAGTCTGATAGAGACTCCTTGTAAATGGAAGTCATTTCACTTAGAAAGGTTATTACAAATAAAGCTAAATATTTAGGATGTGTAAAGGAATAAATACTCGAGAGACCTTATATCCTCTGTTCTAAATCAATCAATTCCTTTTAAGAAAAAAAAGTGAGCATTTACCTCTTTGGAAGTATTCTTTAACTTGACAAATTTACCATCAGTGTCCACGTTTTCTACGATAATTTTCCCTATGTTAGATGCATATTCAGTTACTTCATAACTGGTGTTGGTTAACACGGTGTCTGATAATTTTCTTTTCTTGGAACGAAATGAAGGGCAATGGCTCAAGGCCCACCCCTCACTACATGAAGGGCTAGGAGTCAAATTCAACCTGCAACATTAAGCAAATGTTAAAATTGGGGGTGAGGGGAGAGAATGGCTAATTTTACCTTACACAGGTCAGGTATGCATATAGTAAAAATGGGAGAAGCAGAAGAGCAAGTGCAAAGGAATAAACTATTCTGTGAAGTAACGAAAAAACATTAGAATACACAGCACAGAAACAGGCTATTCAGCTCAACTGGTCTATGCCATCGGTCATGCTCCACATGAGGCTCCTACTGCCCTTCTTCAACTAAGCCTATCGGCATAACCTTCTAATCCTGTCTCCCTCATGTACCTGTCCAGCTTCCACTTGAATACATCTATGCTATTCACCTCAACTACTGCTTGTGATCGCAATTTCCACCACTCTCTGTATAAAGAAGTTTCTTGAGACTTCCCTATTTGACAGAACAGCAATGGAGAAAATGCATGCAGCAGTGTAATAAAACATCCCAGTGGTAAAGTAACTCAATACAGATCAAGCTATGGCTTTCTTAGACAATTTGTGCTAAAAATGCAATATTTAATATTTGAAAACGTAGCAATTTTACAATGACAAATTGCATTGAAATAGCACCTTTCATGTTGGGAACACATCAAAAGGTGCTGGCCAGGCAAGAGTTCAGACCCAAGCTGGGGGTTGAAATCAAGAGTGGTGGGGGCCAAGGGGATGGTGTGGGAGAGTGACCAAAGGCATAGTCAAAGCGCAAGTTCTTGAGACAGGCCTTGAAGGAGGAAAGGGAGGGGGAAGGCAAAGGGAGTACCAGTGGATGGGGACAGAAAGGCAGTAAGCACTTCAATTAGTGCTAATGACTGTTTGGAAGATAATATTGTCCTTTTGATGGATCATTATACAATCGATCAATACTGTCATAAAACAAACCACAGCTTACTGGAAATCATGGATTATCACACAGTTCTCACCTTTCTTCCTCGCCCTCGAGCATCTGCCTATAGGTATTTATTTCCATATCCAGTGCCAGTTTCACACCAAGAAGGTCTTCATACTCTTCCAGTTGGAGCAGCATTTGCTCACGAAATTGAGCGATTTCTCGGTCTTTTTCTACCAGAAGCTTGCAGCTGTTTTCTCTCTGCTGGTCCAGCGCTGTCTCCAGTTCACCAACTTTGTTTTGTAAAATTGAGAGCTGGGAAATGCACGAAAGAGAAAATCAGTTGGTTCAACATGTCACCGGAAAGACAAGAGTCTACGACAATGTAGCAAGCCCTAGGATTCCAGTGGAGTATCAGCCTGACTTGTGCTTGAACTTGCAATCATTTGACCCAGAGCCAATGGACATGCATTCTGTAAATACAACAGATGTGAAATGCACTTTTCTTCTGGGCGCTGTTGAACTTTGAGCAATTTTTTTAATATAATTTTTTTATAACAGTTATTAAAGAGCCAATCACACCACTGGCTCTTGATCAATTTTGAAAAAACACCAGATTGTGGTGAGCTGTGTCTGATAGTTTCTTTCCTGATTCAAAGTAATATGGAATGAGAAATCTAAAATGAGGCTTGCACGTTTCTATTGCTGCAGCACCGTAAGCCAACACAACATGAAGACTTGCAGCCAGAGACAAAAAGACAGTGCTCCTCCGTACGCCATTCAATCCCCATATGGTATGTCATTTAACAATCTCAAACATTACATAATGCCTGGCAAGCTATACTCAAATGTCATTTAACCGTCAGCTATAATTAATACCCCAAAATAACAGTTTCTGTTCAGCAGTCACTTTTCGTATGAAAAATGCTTAGTGTACAATCTAAACTCAGACTAAGGACATCATCCAGCAAAGATCAGGAACTTTAATGAATCACTCCTCGCAAGCACATCTGACATGAGAATTAGCTGTGCATTTACCCGGTTCTTATATTGGACAACCTGGGATGCAAGACTTTCGGTTCTTGTTTTTACTGCCGCCACTTCCTCCTGTGCAGCACTAGCAAAATCACTGTTCTTTGCAGCAGCCATCTGAGCATTTTCCAGCTACAATGCACAAAATTAAGACAATTAGCCAGAGCAATTCAAGAATTTCACAATAATTCAATGTAGATTAAATCACATTTTGATTTGGGCTAGGGTTCCTTCCAGTATTTCAGAATAACCTGCTTTCAATCAGGACTTCAGCAGATTTCTGACAGAGGACATCTGAAGCTCTTTGGGAAAAAATCTCAACCTCCATTTGTGAGCAATTGTGAAATGGTCAATTGTAATACAGATTGAAATATATTTCTGTTTTGGACCAATCACTAAAACAGATTCATTATCAGCACATGATTCAATCTCACAAAAATGGAACAAAATTGTTATATGGTATATGCTTCTTGGACGACAATACTCAGGCAATATACGTCAAAGGGATAGGTGTAACCTTGCGCTGATTGAAACATGAGGTCTCTATTTATTTTATTAAATAAAGAAAAAGGACAGCTGTAAATTTCACAATTCTAACCATGTAACTTAAGACTTTAGTTTGATAAATTGTTGGACAGATAAGTGCCATGTTGCAAGATACTTAATTATTTGAAACAAACTTAATAGCTATTAGAAGTATACTTCTATTACAGGAAAATCTATGACTGAATACTAGATATTTCCCTTTAAAAAGAATATATTAATCATGTTGTGGCTATCCAATTAGATTTTGAAAAGAAACACCAATTGTAGCTGATGTCTAACTGCAAACTATAGGTATTTATCATAGACTGGCAGGTCATAAATAGTTTGAAAGGACAAATTACAACAACTTCTAGCACAGTGTACTCCAGACTTTGAGGCTACTCATTTTCAGTGTGCTGTCTCGTGATCCATGTGTCACTCTAAAAACCTTTCCGCACATTTTGAACAGTCTATAGATCAGCGCTATGTTGTGTCTCTAGGCAATAGGCAGGGATCTGTTGCTGGTTAAGATCATTCAATGAAGACTATTGTCTGCCAATTAATTGGAAGACAGCAGTGATTTTCACAAGTGATGTCAGTTTGTGAGAAATGATGAAATGAAAAATGAACTAAAGTCAAGATACATTATTAGATTTACGTGATACAATGAGTAGGTTTAACTTGAGTAAACAAACAATGCTGGTCATATATTTTTCAAAATTATATCACTGCTGCATCGAGCCTGAATGACTGACGTCAAAAGATGTCAAATATACACAGAATCTTTCCTGCCTAGTTTTAGCTATTAACATTGAATTATTCCAGACTTAAATAATGAAGGTCAGTGATCAAGGGAAATACTTACATCCTTAATAGTATTTAAAAAAAACTTCTTCCCCTTGTAGAATTATGTGCTTCTAGCAAATTACTCCTTAACAGGCTGGATTATATTGATGGAAAAGCTAATACCTTGTTCGGGGGAAATCACCATGAAGGTTACCTAGTTTAAAACTTGAAGTTTTCCTCTTATACTGTCTGAGGTAACTTTTTGAAAGAGGAGACGCATTACCATCAAGATTAAAAACTAATCCTCACCCCAAGGCAACTCTGAAAAGATACTCCCATTAATCTAATTTATCTATTTTTCTAGAGGCGGGGAATACATCAAATTATTTAGCTTCCAATTTTGAACAAGCAGAAAAAGAGAAGTTCAGTTAGAGGCTGGACACATTTCCACCTTTGCTTAATATCAATATTTTAAGAATCTGGTCATCAATCATAGGTTTCCTCATTTTTAAGCATATTGAGAGAAAACAAAAGCTACTTAAGACGAGCAAGGAACAACGCTCATTCTAAATAAGCTCATACATCTGATCCACATCACTTTCTAGAAGACTAACAGGCAAAATACTTGATCTGAATTGAATGTTATGGACTGAAAGATATTCATAATAAATTTAACTCTAATAGCACCCCTCTTACTCATGCAACTCAGATCACAAAACAAATTTCAAATCCTGCAACATTACATCTGGTGTTCAGATGAGACATTAAATGCTACCTACCATTTTGGTCTTCAACCAAATCCCACCTGCTTGTTCACATGGTTGTTATGGATCCCAATTCACTTTAAAAAAAGAGGTGGGAGTTTCTCTTGGTGTCCTGTCCAACAATCCCCACAGATAAAATTCACTTCACGATTGCTTGTTGGGACATGGCTGTGTGCAAATTGCTGCCATGCTTGGCTACTAATACAGTCACTATACTTTACTGGAACCCATGAAGCACTTTGAGACATTCTGATGACTATAAGGCTCTATATTCAATGCTATACTACTTATTATATTTCATACTAACACTTATGCTACCTACCATTTCGGTCTTCAACTTATTTGGATTCAATAAATCAGCATTGCATGCTGTCGACCTTTAATGTTATTGTTGCAAAAGCCATTTTAATATAACTGATTTCTTTCTTACCCTTTCTCTTCTTATTGCTATACCTGAATGACAAGCTGAATTTGTTCCTCATTTTCTACCTGTTCTTTCACCCTCACTGAAAGTCTTTGTGTCTGGTAATCTTCACTGAGCTGATTTGTGGCTCTGCCTTTGTGTTTTTTAGTCCTACAAAAAATCTGTTTCTACAATGCAAGTCACAAAAATTTTATACATACAATATCTTTGCACACACTTTCACAGAATACAAGTATTATTTTGGAGGTCAACGTTGTCAAAACCTGATATATTCAAAGTTCTATTCTCAAATTATGTAAGACTAGAACCAAGTAGTGGCACCCTGCAAGAGTAGTTAATCTGACAGCAATTTAGCTGGGAATCTGGTCCAAATTTCTTTTAAATAGGTTAGATTTAGCACTAGCATGATAAGAAATGTAAAGAATTACAAATCACCTTACTGACATGGTTTTTAAAAAAAAAGATAAATTAATGTCATCAAAACATTGACTTGATTTATGAAGTTGTTTAAATTTATCAAATATATAAACTTAGAAAAATTCCATTAATTTAGCACTGATATTGTATCATTTCCCCACATTATAGTGAAATATCAGATCCAATTCCTACAAATCATCAAGTTATAGCATTAAACACAAATGGGATCTGAATTAGCCAAGGTTATGAAGTCAGATCTACAAGATATTTCATTTGATTAATAAGAGTATAAATCCAGACATGACGTGGCTACTTCAACAAAAACTTAAAGCACGTTTTTCTAAAACGTTGTAATTTTGTTTGCGTGCAATTGGTTTGTTATAATCAAGTCCGGTCAGGCTAGGATGAAGGCCAACAATTTGAGCAGAATAAGTCAGACAAGAGAATTACAGAACAATTTCTGGGACATTGAATGGGCCAAGAGATTATGAGCCAAAAAAGATTTAATAAATTGGCCCAATCAAAGACTCTCTTGCACACAGGATTACAGAAATGTTAATGATTTAGTCTACAACTCTTTATATTCTCAACTGGTGTGTGTACTTTTTTTTAAACTAAAAGATTAAGTTTCTTTAACTGCTACAAAGCATGCAATGGAAGACTAAAAGCAATCATCATAATTTTGATTGCTTTCTTTTCCAGGTAGACATTGCTATGCAAGACAGAACATTTCAAGCAGTTCAGCAAAGCAGGCTCAAACAAATGAATGTCTGCACATCAAAACTGCATAGAGGTAAACAAAAACTACCTTTGGAGTTTTACGTATTGCTTGTATATTCACCAATAAATGTTGAATAGAATAACCAAAAATTCTAATCTGGATTTTTAAGGTTAAAAAAATACCAATGTAGTTGGTAAAAATTTACATTGAAAGCATTTCTAGAATTACATGTAATATTTTGCTTACAAAATTGCCAAACAAAAGAATTGAGCAGAATTGTTGTGGTTGCTATCTTAATCAGCAAAACAAGCTTCTTTTTAAAAAAATTGCAAACACATCTGGAACAACAAATACAAGGAGGACCCAATGAATATGAATGTCTCCTTCAACAAGTGTTCAGCCTCCTCTCAAAGCTCATTCTCAACAACACAGACAGGATCAGAATTCATTCTGCAGAGAATTGCAGGTGAGACACATCTCCATGACTATGACATAATGTAGTGGAACCTCTCCATAATACACAATTAAACAGAAGTACAGGTTTCACTCAACTTTTTTGATGGAGGAAATTTTAGCCATTAGGTTTTGCCTTCATTTATTTGGTGCAAAAACGATTACTTTGTAACAATAGGATAGCTTCCAAATTACAGTCACTACACTTTACCGTAAAATACTTTGAGACATTCCCCTAATGTAAAAAGTGCTTCATGAAGAACAATGATTGGGATTTTTTTCAATTAAACATCAAAAAACCCACAATATTGTGGTCATGCATTATGTTTCTGTTTTTCATATTCCCATGCTAAACATTAAAAGGTACTGGAGCATACATAAACTGTAATAGTACAGTTTTTATATAAAAACCTCAACATGGTTAGGACAAATTTTCTAAAAGATTACTATCTTGAAGATTAAGCCATTTATTTCAACATTGCTCCCAAAACCACTGTTAATCACCTTGGTATGAAAAGTTCTCTCCAAATCCTCCTTATACTGTTTGATTTGTTCATCTTGATCATCTCGAAGTTGCTGAAGCACACCTGCCACTTTGCTCTCATACTCCTGTTGATTACCAACCTCGATGTCAAAAAGTCGAGTTCTATGCAGTTTCTTTACTTCCTCGATTTCCTAAGGAGACAAGTGTTTAACTTTGAATTCAAAACTTCATAGTAAAACTAAAAAAGACAAGAAGGGTACATTTGATGCAAGGAAAACTATCACATCTATACACATTGCTGGAATCTTATTAAATGATCCACTTAATAAGTTACATTTGTATCTGCAGCATCAGAGAATTTCATCACACCCACACATACAATGGATGGAGAGGGAGGGGTTAAAAGAAGGTTGGCTGAATAGGGATCAGGAGTCCAGCCTGACTTTCACTCCCAAACTCAGGGCACTAATGCACAATGTTCTATCCCTGTTGCTGGGCCACAGGAGAACAGCTAACTTAGCACAGACCAGAAACCTTCCCAGCCTGGATGGTGGCGTAATAACAGATCATTTGACACGTGCTCAGGTTCTCTAAATGTGCTACATTCCAAAGGAGTTGGCTCACAAAATCAGCACCCTTTCAATGTCTAACATGAATTGGTTGGTATGGATTCTAAACCCATTCTGGCATTAACCTCATCAATTCAGTGATATAGCACCAATTGATTCTAATGAATGCCAAATATCAGGTGCCAAACATCAGCTACGTACCTGCTTATGCAGATTTTTCTGAAATTCTAGTTTTTCCAGCAAGGTTTGTGTTCGGTTTTCCAGGTCACACCTTTGCAACAATTCATCTTGCAGTTGTGTTTTTGCATGATCAGCAATGGATAGAATCTGAAATAAAATTGAGAGAAGCCACACAAACCATGTATTTGAACACAATTCATCTTTACATTTTGGGGGAGGAATGAGGGTATGTATTTTTGGCATTTTATGCTTACTTTTTCAAACTCAGCTTTAAGATCAGCTAGTTCATACTCCAAGCTCCTCTTCTCACTTAGCGATGTTGCTAACTGGGCCTCTCTGGAAAGTAAAAGTGCCTCCAAATCTTCTAATCGTTCCAAAGCAGATTTTAAATCCACTTCAATTTTTGCATTTCTGAAAGAATAATTTACAGTTTTGTTAATTTCTTTTGAACAGTTTCTAACCGGGTTGATTTTAAAATTCTACCCAAAACACCTCACTGCTTAAATCAAAACTGTATAAACTGCCTGCAAGGGACCCTGGCTAAGCTGAAGGTATTGCTCTCAACAGACAATTGGGAGAATCTTTGAGGTTTGAGAGGACTCCTTTGGGAAGGAATCACCTTGAGTGTGTATGTATACAAGTGCTCTCTACATCTGTGATTCAGTGGCTAATGCTGTTGGTATGCAGAGAACTGAGCTGCTGTTGCTGAAGCTTCACATCTCCAACTGGCGGGACGCCATTCGAGAGGTTACAGTAAGTGTCCTGCTATGGGCAGGAAAACGCATGCTCTATAATATTTTATGTGCAGCAATATTGCTCACTAATCAACTCAGGAGGAATTCCTGGCACAACATCTATCCAGTGAGAGTTCACAAACGTGCGGGTCAGTAACCTGAATTCCAGCTTGTAACTTGGTGGGACTCTTCCCAACATGTAAAGAGTTATATAAATGCAATTTGATGGGGGTGGGGCAGAGAAAGGGAAATATGTGAAATAAGCAGAGCATCTCTAGAGCTGAAATTGTTCTACTCTTTGTGGTGGACTCAGCAATCATACCTCAGACACACAGGCACAGAGTACTGCAGGGCGCTGTTGATGATTGACCAGCCTAACTGCCTCATCATCAGTGAAACAGATGCTGATACCCCAGCAAGCCAAAACCAATGCCCAACATGTGGAGTGCCCTTAGCTGGAGCTACATTTCAACACTGCTGCACAAGGCTTCACAGACATATGGATCATAATGAATTGCTCCCGACTGGGGAAAACAGTTGGATACAACAGACACAATATTATGGCTTTGCATCGTCACAATTCCAGCAAATGTTGAGATAACAAACACACAGGCAGAATTCTTAGAAAAGCGCAAAAGACAAGACACTAGTAATGAGGACATCTGGCATTCATTTAAAATTAAAAAAAAGTAGAGTTGTTGCATTTTTACCATACAAGTTTCCGCCTTAAAATATGATGCAATATTAGTTCTCTCTCTATCCCAATGAAAATGCACATTAGTTTCATATCTTCAGTTCCTCTGGAGTACCCCAATCTTCACAATAGAACCATCAAGTTAGAGCAAATAATTTCACGCGAATATGGAAGCAGGTTAGAAACATCAACCCAGAGAATGTGAAACATATATACCATGGGAACACAATGCTTCCTGGCCAAACGCCCACAGTCCAGGTTCTCTTTACTATAATTCAGTCCTGGAATGGGTGATTTATAAAAAAATGTTTGAACCTGCACAGTCATAACTTTTTTTTCCTGCAAGTCATCCAGATATTTATTAATTGACTCCCAGAACAGAAACCATTGTTGCTGCTTCTCTTTCGATTTGTTTAAAAAAGATCAGGGCAAGATATTTATCTGCGAGAGAACAGGATTATTGCATAGTTTTAGGCTGATACAGACATCTTCCTTGGACCTTGGAACATCCTCCTGACTATTCAAATGTAATTTATTGTTGTTTTCTATGGAACCTGTGCTTCAGAAGGAAAGGTCTATGGGGGGAAGGATGCCATTGTGCTTATTCGCTCTCACCAATTCCTTCTCAAGCAAAGTTAAATAAGTTTTTACAGCAACGATGGACACATTCCGTGGATTGGGCCACACAATTTGCCGTGGTTTGAAAAACATTATAGTACAGCTCAGAACGCGGTGAGCGGCATAATACTATATCTCATTCTAAAGTTATGTTCGTTCTTCTGTATCGTTGGGTGGAAACTGGTGGTTCAGGAATCAAATAATAACAATCCTTGCATCTGATTATAGCACCTTATCAGGTTGTTGAGATGTCTCAAAGCGCTTCACAGAATGTACAAGTAAATAATAATAATAATCCTTGCATTTGATATAGCGCTTTTCACGTCCGGAGGACGTCCCAAAGCACTTCACGGAACACACTGTAAAGCGAATCGACTGTATATTTGTGGGCGAACGCGGCAGCCAATTGCGCACAGCGGTGTCCCGCAAACGGTGGTGGATTAAAAATGACCAATTATGGGTTTGGGTTTTGAATCTTGTGGCCAAAACTCAAAGAGGTCAACTGCACGAAGAGTGAGGAGAAGACCAAAGTGGGGTGAGGTGGGGTGAGGTGGAGTGAATGGGGGACAAAGTGAGGCGAGTCCTGACCCTGGTGCTCGTTACCTTTCCTGTGACTGGCGGTGCTCCTGTAGGGTGGAGTCCAGCTGGAGCTGAAGCCTCGACCTCTCGTTCAGGGCGGTGTCCAGCCGCAGTCTGGTGCTCGCCAGTTGGCTCTCGTACAGGGACCTGTTCCTCTGCGCTTTGCGGACCGACGCCTCCTCTGACTCGGTGGCTCTCTGGAGCAGAGCGCCCTTCTCGCTCTCCAGCGAACGCACCCGCTCGATGTAGGCGGCCAAGCGGTCGTTGAGCTGCTGCAGCTCCTCTTTCTCCTCCAAGCGACTGAGGGCGCCCGGGCTCTGCCTCGGAGCCGGAGTGAAGCAGCCGCTGTCGTCGTGGTGACAGGTCGAGGACATTTTTCCCGCTCTTTTTACCTTCCACGTCTCCTTTCCCCCCCTCTCCCTCCCCTCCTCAAGACGTTGGAGCTAAATTTCGAGACCTTCTCCCAAAATATTGGTTTCCTTCGGAAAAAAGTATTTGATGTGTGGAGTTTTTTTTTCCCCCTCCTTTTCCAATTGTGTGTGTGTGTGTGTGTGTGGTTTTTTTTTCCCCCCCTCCTCCTTTAAATCCACTGAATGTTGCACCACCTATTTTTACCTCAGCCCACGATTATATTTCTGTTAAATACCCTTCTAACGAATGTCTACAAACGGCAACAAAAAAACAACCCACAACACAAGATGGAGAAGGTGACCATAAAAATGTACCACCACCACCACCACCTCAGGTCATCACCAGGACAAGTCTAACCCCCCTCACAAGTAGAGCAAGGACGGTGAGAGAGAAAGATAGAGAGAGCTTATTGGATGTTTTTATGTGGGGAACATGGTTGCCTTTCCCTGAGCTAATTGGAGAGCCTCACGTTTGCCTCCAAATTGAGATTGATTGACACGAGTTTAGGGCTACTTCTTTCCAATGGCAGTCAGATGCTCAGATGGCGTCCAACACCAAATTAGGCTGCAGTGCCCCCCCCCCCCCCAACCCCCACCCATCTTTCCACAGGTTAACAACAAGACCTCCATCCCCCAATGCCTTCGCCTCGCTTCCTCTCTTTCCTCCTTCAAGGCCGGTCTCAAGACCTTTCTCTTTGACCGTGCCTTCAGCTCCCCACTCGACTCTCTACCCCCTCCTCGCCCCCCTTCCCTCCCCTCAACCTGACCATTTCCCCCCCTGCTCGGGTCCTGACCCAATCTGTCCAGCGCCTTGGGACGTCCTCCCGACGTGAAAGGCGCTCTATAAATGGAATCTTGTTGTTGTTGTTGTTGACCTTGTTCAGGTTAGTCCACATGGACCTTCAACAGCCATGGGTGGGGGGCAATCAGTGACCCTAAGACAACTCTGCGTGTACATTATCCAATGCTTTGCTACATTCCTACTGTGGCATATCAAATTAAGAATATAGGACTAATATAAAGTGCACTGTTACATTGTAATAGTAGCACAGCGTTGGTACAAGGAAGATAAAATTAACCGACCGCAAATGTAGGAGGTGAAGGAATTTGGCAATATGCATCAAGCAATATGATACTGTAATTTTTTAATAGTCCCGGCGAAGAACCTCCCCTTTATTGCTGCTTCACTCTGTTGTACCACAATGACTAACATCAACTTTTATCCCCAGCATGTCTGTTGGATCCTCTATACTTGGTCTCTGGATTTTGCGATACTTGCTCCTTCATGGTTACGTGGTCCCACGTTATACCCCTCTGTTTTATGAACACTTTAGTGATCAATGTGCCATTGCCTGAGACATATCCGAAACATTTGACAGGATTTAACATTACTTACTTCTAACGACGATTCTTCTTCCATCTACTCAAAGAGTTTCCGGGTCACGAGTTTTTCTTCCACTTTGTTCCTCAACGCCAGTTATCTCCTGCACCCATCAGCTAACCCCTTTCTACTTTTTCCTAATGAATCCACTAAACATTCACGTACATTGTGTTAGCGTACATTATTTGTGCACTTGACCTTCGTTGTCTACAAGTTAATCACTAAAACTTGATCTAATCTGTGTACTTCAAAGCAACAATGAAAATCTTTCTTTCAATCCTTTAAAGACAGAGTTTCTTCATATCTCTAGTAAGTCTAAGCAAGAGCAACCACTTCTTACCTTTCGTGACTCCGCTTTTAATCATTCTTCGTCTATTGACATTCTTGGCCTCAGTATCTCCTCTAATCTCAAATGGAATGCTCACAGCTGCCTCCAAGAGCTTTGGCTTCCTCTTTCATGCCAAACACTTCTTTTCTCCTCAACAACTCTTAACTCTCTATAAATTGCAAGTTTGTACAATACTTGAATATCACTCCCATATCTAATGAGGCTCTCCTAATAGCTCTCTTCTACTCCTGGACAGATGTTTGCCTGGATTCCAATTTCTCTCCCTCCATCACAGCCTTTCCGATCTATATTTTGATATAATTGTGGTCATTGTTCCTTTGCACTTTTCATTCTTGTTCTTCCTAATTTCAAATGTGATACCTTACATGCTCTTACTGTGTGGAAACCAAGATTCATCACACTTTCTATTGCTCTTAAATAACCAGTATCTCAAGATTAAAATATAGAATCTCCTACATCTTTATAAATTTTACCCAATTCCTAATTTAAATAATGTTCTCTCCGACTCTTTCCAGCTCCAATTCTTTGTCAATGGTTTTCAACATATCAAAATAGATTTTTTTTTCAGCAATCTATTGTTTCTGTTAACTAAGTGTCTAATGATCTTGTATTTTGGGTGTCGCCCTAGCTCAGGTGGTAGTGATCTTGCCTCTGAGTCAGAAGGTTGTAGGTTGAAGCTCAACGTTGGTAGTTCGAACTCAGACAGTCCAGACTTTACATTTGCTTTCTTGGTTTCAATTCCATGTTGATCACTCCCATCACTTTGGTGCAGCACTAACAAGGATTACATGTTCCCATTCATGTTACAGTTAGATTAATCTACCTGACAAATTAATTACTCTACGCTGACAAATGTGATCTGCAAACACCAGCTTCTGTGTTCTTTGCCACAGTTCATGCATGTTGCTAGTCAGAGGTATTGGAACCCTATCACAGCCAGTCCCGCACGATTAATTAGTCCATCACTTTGATGAATGCACCACTTCATTCGGTGGCAGAATCATATCGGTAAATACTGTACTTACAAATTTTCATCTTAAGTAGTTATTTAGGTTTATATGCCACCAATATATAGGACAAAGCAAGACCACGCATGGAGATACTGCACTTTCTGTGTGAAATTGTACTCTAAAATGCACTTAATTTGGGGAAAAAGTGCAATGTTTTGCTTTTACATGGACACTTCCCATTTTGAGTCTCTGCTTGCATCCTCAGCTGCTTCAGTGGCAAAGGTTACAGGGAGGGGTGTCTTACAGCAACTTGATCAATTTTAATTGCAGCTGGTAGTTCAACCTGCCCTTGGGGCTATTCCGCACACATTCTACCCCAGCAAAAAAGTCAAGCACAAGGTGAGTTCGTAGCAATATTGAAACAGGCTTGTGTAAAGCCCTGGCTCACATTAAAATCAGTGAACCCACTTAGGGATGTTACACATTGCCTCAACAATATACATCACTGAGCAGCGTAGAAATTGAGTGGAGATCCAATACAGCAGGGCCCCATGAGTTCACTTAAGTCAAGGTATATTTCAATAGGTAGTAGAGTTTAACTAATATAAAAAAGTATACATTACACCCAATGTATTCCCCAAGCACGCTCCTGTTTTAACTCGTAATTATTTTGTAATGTGAAAAAATTCAATTGAATTACTTTTTTTATTGAAGGCTCAGCTAAACCAAAAGCCGTTCATTTTCACCTCCTCTGGATTCAGTTCCTTTTCCATCAATGCTGTAAAAATAAGCAACATTTCAAGTTTATAAAAATACGAAAGAGTCAGCATAATGAGATTTCCTTTTCATCCTTCAGTTTATGTTTCTGAAGTGTAATGAGAGATTACTATCCTCCAAGTATTTATTTCTTTGAAATATGCATGGAAAGGTAGCTTGACTTTGGATCAAATAACATCTGTAAAAAAGTATAGAGTTCATTCCCCATTAACTCAGAAATACCGAGACTATTTGTGGAGTTCCTAGCTTCAGCACAGACTTGGGATTGAACCTGGGATATTTCAATTAGTGTTCCTTATTTTCACATTGGACAGTAGCTTTAATGCACCATCAGGGAGCAACTTGTGGTGTGTATTGCTAAGATGGAAGCCAAAAATATTGATCATGTATTGAATAATATATGAAAACATTATTGTTTTTAGATAACCTTACATCATCATTGCTTGCATTTGTGACATCCTTGTATTTTTTAAGATGACAAACAAGTATGTATTCTGTAAACTGTGATAGCTATAGTTTTTTTCATACACAGAGCAGGGGAGTGGGAATCATTGGATAGCTCTTTCAAAAGTCAGCACAGGCATGATGGGCTGAATGGTCTCCTTCTTTGCTATAAGTGTCTATGATTCTATGATCATCAGGCTACCAATATAATCTATTGGCTTGGTTAACTGCTTTCACAATATTATATGGTTCGGCATTCTGTGAAGCACTTTGAGACATCTAAACGGTGTGTTAAGCACTATATCAAGAATTATTATCATTATCCCTCTTTCTGAGCATGTGTATCTGATCTAATTATCCTTCTCCAGAATCTACTCAAATTTCTTGTTACCCATCAATTGCGTTTTGTAAAGCACATTAAACTGGTTTGAAAAAAAACAACACTTTGGGAGTGATCATCTGGTTGTATTTCACATGGTTTGTTCTCAGTGGTATAATCCATTCAAGATTATTGGCAAACATCTCATCTGAGACTGATACGAAAGATCTGCCTGACTGCACACTGGAGCTAAAGCATTGCCAAAGGTCAGAGCGAGTACCACGCAGGGAAAAATGGTGACTGACAGAAAATAGGATAATTGCAGCCCAAGGACAGCAATGGTAGCACCTCCTCCTCAAGTTCTCGAAGGAAGGAGAGGCCGTGTACTTTGGAACTCAAAAGTCAATGAGCAAACTTAGTTCAATGTTTTCCCCCTCCTTCCCCATCTTCAGGTTGCGCTTAAAGACCTTCCTCTTCGCCCGTGCTTAAGCCGTGCCGCCCTCCTCCCCTGGCTCGGCGTCATGCTCCGCTACTGTCAAGCGCTCTGGGATGGTACCCTGTGTGAGGGGGCGCTATAAAAACGCAAGTAGTTGTTGTTATGTCCAGACAATCATGACCCAACAGTCAATTTCTTGTACGTTTCAGCACCAATCTGGTGCTGACTCCAGTACCAACGCCATCGATTAACTAACTACTCTCGGTGACTTTGACGCTTGCATTCAAACCCATCGCCTGTTGTTGTTG